ACGAGAATATGGAGAGAGTGAGACAAATCTCACGTGAAGAACGTCTTTCATGAAATTGATAATATTGTTCTCGATTCAAGGAAGAACGGAGGAGAATCTGATTTTTATTAGAAAAATTGATGACGATCAAGGTTGTAAATGATGCCATTAAAAAGATAGTAAAATTTTATCCGGAATTGGATAGAGTGGCCATCCTGAAAAGTTTATGGAACTTAACATCCACGAAATTTCTAATGACCAATGAAAACGATTTACGTGATAATTCAATCGTCATTCTCGGAATTTAACATGCAGGCTATCTTCTTTATGGAAAAATCCGGTCTTTGAGGAAAAACAGAGAAAAGATTGAAAACTTGTACACTCAAAGAAAAAAATACTTCTCACCAGTACCGAGCGCAGTACATTTTTGCAGTTTTCAACTAGCGATTTTGTTGGCCCAAACAAGACTTATTTGAGAAATTGTTTGTTTTTCTTTCAGTGTATGGCAAGAAGAGATGAGAAGAGATTTTCTAAGGTTGTTTATTTGATTGTTTTGTCAATCAGAAGAAGAAAGACAGTGGAAAATTGCTAAAACGTCAATGTCAATGTCCAAAAGTTTCTATAGAAGACAATGTTTAAACAGAAAAAGTTTTCTAGAAAGCTCAAATTCTACTGTTTTTTATGTAAAAAAGCAGTTTATATTGGGCAATTTTCTAGTAAAAAAAACGTGCAGTAAAGCTGTGGAATTCTCAATTCTTTCTAATTCCCTTAGTCACATATTCTCCGTAACATGCGGATAGGTAACTGGCGAAAATTATTGAGAAATATTCCCTAGATGTCTCGTGATAATTAATTGAAAATCAGTCGTTATCGAGGCCAATTTTTCGATCATGACGTCACGAAGACGGTCAGGTGAAGCTTCATTGGTCGAAAAAGGAGAGAGTGGGGAGTTGTCGTCTTCTACTGGCCGAGGCGCACCTCAAGATCGGGTTAGATCGGCTCGAGCCATTCTATGATTGGTCCAGCGCTCGACCGTCAGTGTGACGTCATTAGCGATGTAAAATCGATTGAAATCTTCAACTTTTAACGATTCATTATTAATTAATGAGCAGTATTTCAAACGTTTTGAATGAAAAATGAATTATTCAGATCCCAAGCTTGAAAATATAAATGAAAATATAAATATAAAATAAGCTTTAGAAAATTGAAAGAAATTCATGCAAGTTCCCTATTCTTCAATACAATTTCAGTAGCGTTCTGTCAAATTTTCTAGGTCTTTCTATTAAATTTTTTCGTGCGTAAAAACTCCAACAATCATTGATCTGCAATTTTTTGAGAAAAACACCCCTGTCCCTATATCCGTCACTTATCCGATGTCACCGCTTCTCTCTATATGAACAATATTGTTACTGTGGGAACATTTTCTTTCCTTTGTCACGTAAACAATCGGATGAATCAGTCCCGAGGTATTTTTTGGGGACAAGAATTGAATAGAAAAGTAACGAACAAGTGGCTGATGGAAATTGTAAAGGTTCACCTTTGATGTTTGAGTTTGAGTTTGTTTGATGTCCAGAGTGTTCTCAACTTGGTGAATGTACAAATCGCAGCGTTGAGGAAGGTGTTCGGGGTAGAGAGGCCCACATAATCGAGAGACCCAGCAGCCGCATTCCAAGTTGGGTGTGAGCAGAGGGAAAGACGAAGGTGAATGGTTTAGGATAATCTGCTCACCAATGCCCACTGTCAATTTTTTTCTCGCATTCAATGGAAAATTTGTGGAACTGAATGACCAAAGAACGATTTCCCATCGAAATCCTGCGAATGAGTCACGGGTGCGCGGGGAAGAAATGGGGATGAGAAGGTCGAAAAAATAGTTGGGAATTGAAAGTAAAAAAAGCATGTTGCATTGTCGATGAGATTGCAATTTGTTTATTTATATAACATGAGATATCGGAGAGTTACACACTCACGTAATGATGACACATCACCGGCTGGGCTGAACGCTTGAATAAATGTTGACATGCACACTTGCTCCATAAATTAAATATTTTGTTCTTTATTCTCTTTTTCTCCTTGAATTAATTATATGGTGTGGTGGTGAGTTATCTTTTATATCTCTACGTGCTTTTATGTGGATTTTGCTGGAGATTGAGAGGAAGCTATCATTAGGATTCAGTTGGATATCTTGGGATTTGGGGAAGTGATTTCAAATCATTTTGTAAGCGATTTGTTTACCCTACCACGAGTTTCTGGATTTCAGTACCGTGATTCTGCCCTGGTAAAACAGTCCGATTATTTCCGACTGGGTGATAAAAAATGAATCGGCGTCAATGATGTCTCTGTCTTTGCCCGTTAAATTCCGATTGGCTGGTGAGGAGAGTTTGGAGTTTGAGAAAATTATGAGAATTAATGGGAACAAGGGTATGTAGCCGTTATCGTCCGATTACTTTCCAAAAAAGTGGTTGATAGATCTCATATTATGCATATAGATATTTAAATGAGCAATAAATATTAAAGATTTATATGAGCAACATGAGATCTATCAACCAGTTTTTTGGAAAGTAATCGGACGATAACCGCCACATACCCTTGATCCTATTAATTCTCATAATTTTCTCAAACTCCAAACTCTACCTACCAGCCAATCGGAATTTAACGGGCAAAGACAGAAACATCATTAACGCCGATTGATTTTTTATCACCCATTTTTCTGCAACGAAAAAACGTCGAATTCAAATTATCACGTTTTACAACTTGACTACTGAATTCATATCATTTCCAGTTCCACTCCCACTCCAATTTTTCCATCATCACACCGGCTTCCTACTCGACTCCATCCAAAGGAATAAATAAATCATACCTCAACAGATATGAGATTAACCCGTATTTCCAACAACTTTATAAATCCCAATTTTTCTAGATTCCCTTATCTCTGTGTATTTAGTTATAGAGCAATAGTGCAACGTTCTTTGTAATGCCAGCGCGTGTATGAACTTTAGCAGGCTCGAGTGAGCACGCAAAAGGCACAATCCCTCCGAGTACAAAACGAGAGCCCCTGGGGGGGAGGGCTCGGCATCGGTCAATGGACCCTCGTAAAGAACTTTTCCGTATAAACATCACTTTATTATTTTTTCTTCACTCCACTTTCATAACTGTACCCCACATTCACGTGAAATTTCCTTTTTCTCCCTCGGGTCCTCGTCATCGTTGAAACTTTCCCACTTTGAATTTATTTAAGAAACTTTTCCTTATCCAGTGGAGCATCACGTTAGACAGTTGAATGGGTGTGAAAGAGGAATGATAAAAACATGAGGAGAATTAATGTGTGAGTGATTCTTCAGGGGTTCGCTCGCCTTTTTTTTTCAATCTTTTTGTATTAAAATCTGGGTCATATCATCGTGACCGTATTTCTTTGTCTCTCGGGGCCTCTCGAGGGTCGCCAATTTCACTGGAGATACCGTTGATCGATTATAAAATATCTTTGAGATGAAACGCGCTCCCCGAGATTTTTCCATTTGCATGAAAGCATTTATTCATGGAAAGGCGGGAAGGGTGGGCATATACAGCCAATTAAATTGTCCATCTATAGGGAACTTCTCTGGAATTTATTTTTCCCTTATTTCTCTACTCACCCATTCCACATAACCCATGCGCTGAAAGAAGAACGAACGAGTTTCTCCAATGTAATATGAGGGTCAGACATTAAATTTGATTATATAAGTGTCAAAAAGTGAAGGTTAATGAGGGTCGGGATATTAGAGTCAAAACGTAAGGGCCTGAATGTAAACTAGATTTTTTTCCTGACCGTCACTATGCGCCTCTTTTTCCGTGCTAGCACCAGAATTTTTCTAAAAAATTTCTCTCCGTGTGCATGAAAAATGTCTTAGCATCAAGAGAAAATTCAAACAATAACCAACCTATTCTTATTCTTCATTCGAGTCAAAATTCGAGTGTTGATTTGTTACCCAATGTATAAGGTACCATTGTAGGGGAGGGTAGGGCAAAACGGGGCAGGGTGGGCAAAATGGGGCGCCTCAAAATTTTCACAAAAATTGAAATAATGATGAATTTCCGAGAAAAGTATCAAATAACTACCAGATGAGTTAATTAAAAACTATCTCTCAATTTTTTTCAGATTTTTTCGACAATCCATTTCAGAGATATGATTTTTTCTTCATTTTTCAATAAGTTCAATTCTATTCATTGGATTTTCATTTAGAACCCATCAAAATTTTCCATTTTCTACTATCTATAAGAATATTTTGAGTATTTTTTCTTGGTAATCCCTAGGTGCTCATAATGACGAATTAAAAAAAAAGTTGAAAAACTTGAATTTTCAAAATTATGTTACATTTTAATTTTTTCGTATTTTTTTCATTAATTCTTGTCATCAAAACAAGTATTCTGAGTTCTCAAACAAGTTAGGTTTCGTCCTGGACCCATTTTATTTTCAATTTTTTCTTGTCGAAATTCCGCGAATTTGGCCAAAACACCCTGAGACGACTTCGATTATGTATCGAAAAAATACGTAACATATAAGTATACATTTTAATTAATTTCATACTATTTATAATCAAAGTCAATCAACGCAATTTTGAGGTATTTCAATTGGGGCATTCCCATTTTGTCCTTCAATTATTTTTGTTGAATTGATGTGATTTCAACTCATGCTGAAGCCATACTTTAACTCAAATATAATAATTTTTACCAAAAAATAGGGGAGGATGGGGCAAAACGGCCCCCCTTCAATCGTCAATATTTTCCGATTCAATAATCCGATTGGGATGAGTTAGAGCTCGTTTTGAAGAATGAAAAATTATCTTCAAAATGAAGTTGAAACTGGGAATTTTCACAATGTCATTCACAAGTTGTTGACAATTGAAGGGGGGCCGTTTTGCCCCACCCTCCCCTACTCATAATTGACCTCTACGTTTTCATGCCCCATTTTGCCCTCCGCTCCCCTACAATGTCGATCAACAAAATGAAATCCTGTTCTCACAATCTGCTCTTGTAATCTGTTCTAGGATGCGTCGAGTCCGAGGGTGGTTGTGTTCGTTGTCGCGGCGCATCGTGCGCCCGTTGTGCAGCGCTCCTGCACGAGGGTAATTGCGTAGACTCATGTCCACCGGGTTACACCGTCGATTGGTCAACGAGGGACGAGTACATGGGGAGGATATGCCACAAGACTGGGTACATCCTCGGTCTTACGGGGAGCCAAGTCGCCATTCTAGTTGGAATTATTTCCGGTGCAACAGTCTGCATATTCATCATCTTGTGCGGTGCAATTGTGGTGCACAGGAGGAAGAAAAGGGCGGTTAAACTCATTCGGCAGTATGAAGACAGGTACTAAATTCAGTACTAGACTGGGCAATAGGAGACCTTTCAACTTGGCTCGGGATTGGCTTCTGGGGAAGTCAGTTCTACCTCCTTTAGATTCAAGAATTTTTCAACTTTCTGACCCGAACACTGTTAGAAATTTCTTGAAATTTCGGTCATAACGTCATCTGAATTTTCGAAGATGTGAGTTTGAGTCGGAGATAGCCAAATCCATAAAATATCATTACCGTTAATTGTAGCCGTCAATTTAGTTAACATCACGCTCAAATTTTTTGATTATTTAAGTATCACCAATTCACATATTCAAATTTTTAACTATTTTAGTGATCAATAATTGTGGTAGGAAGATTGACGATTATTTGTGTAATCGAAAATCCCCTTTTAAGAAATTTGAATTATTCACCTAATGGTAAATTTACAGTTCCATATGAATAAATTTTTAATTCATCATAAATCGAAAAAATTAGATTATTAATATTATACTATTTATAAAGTTTGATCAGCATATTTTAAACCTTCACTAATATAAGGGACAAATCCTTGTAATTTTACAGAAATTTAATATTTATGGTGATCCCTGGTTTGAATTCAATTTCAAACGAAAGCGTCCACTAAATTTCTCATTCGTCTTGAAAATTTGAGACAATTCGGTATTTCATTATTATTATTACATAATAATCCGATATAATTTTTAATCTCCAATTCCTAATTTCTGTCTTTTATTCTATTCATTCTATCAAAAGACAAGGATAGAAATCGAATTTATGGATGTTCTTCCATTATTCGAAAAAATATATCGATTTCAAAACTTTCCGGAGACATTGAAAGATAAATTTTTTAGTTCTTTCCACATGCGTTTTTTTGCATTTCTTGAATTTCTTCCCCCTGAAATATTGATATCCCTCTAATACTTGAAGGAAAAAAGTGATTCGAAGTTCCCGCCCGCATGGAAGAAGAAAAAAATCTAAAAAATTAAAAAATTATTCATAACTCATAAAAAAATGTAACAATAGAGCTCAGTTTAGGCTCATCACAAAGGGAAAGAATTGTTCTTTGTATTAAAAAAAAAAAATTATTAAATTTCATCAACATTTCAACCCATCACTACTATTTAAAAAAAAGTCAAGTGTCCATTTTACCCCAACCTCCCCTAACTTGAAAAGTGCTTCTCTTCATGTTGTTTAAAAATTAAATCCGCCATGTTCGATTACTGACCCATCTCATTTATATATAAGGAACAAGGATTATTCCATTAGTCCATTACAAGTGAGATGTCATATTTTTTATTCATCCCCAATGACCTTTCTTCCAGTGCTGAAAGACGAGAATTCCTCAAGCATCTTGGAACATTACGAGGCGAAGCAACAACATTTCTTGCGATGTTAAACGATACGAGAAGACAAGTAAGAGAATTGTACTACGCTGGTAATAATGGAGATGGTGCAGTCGGCGTGCAGGCCTACAGGTAAACTTCACTCTTATTTTCCAGGATCCCTCTGTTATCCGCTTGAATTCAGAACAGACAGATGTACATTGTGAGAAAAAACGCTAATGTCACAAAAATAACATAAACTTCTTGGGCTAGGGAGATAGCATGTAAATTCGATCTAACCAGTGGGATAAAGTTTTTGGGATAAAGTACACTGAGAAAAAATCAAACAAGTTCTCACCCAAGTCATGTGTGGAATAACAAATCGCGAGTTAAAAATCATTTGAAAAATTGTTTGAAAGAATTCTTTCAACAGAGACGAAATATTTGGGTCAAGAGGCAGATCATTCTTACCAGACGGTGCCTCAGGATGAAAACATTTCTTGTAAAGAAAAATTTATGAAGAAATATTGTATATTTTTATTCTATTTAAGAATTAATTTCTTATCTGTGATTATTGAATAGTCGAAATGATAAACTACTGTCCCTGGTTTCGCTTGAAACAAACATTTTTCGTGTGCAAAATACATATGAAAGAAATGAGATTTATTGCTTGTAGAGAGAATACAATTTTTTTGAAACAACTAAATCTATTTTTGCAATACAAATTTGTCATCTCAGGATAGTCTTTAAATGGTCAGCCCTAGATTTTATTTTTCTCGAGAATTTCAAGTTGCTTTTTTTTTTAATTTCAAGAAAATGTTCCCAAACAAGTTTTCTTTAAACCAAAAGAATGGCAAGTTTAAAATTTCAAAAATAGAAATTTTTTCATTTGATTCAAGAAAAGATACGAGATCCCTTTTCCTCTCAGTGTAACCATGAAGTCTGTTTTCCTTCGCAGACCCGTGCTACGAGACCTCGCCAGAATACTAGTTTTGGTAAATCGAAAAGATGATGAGATAGCACTACCCCCCAACGACTGGCAGAGGCTTCTGGCTTGGGCCGAGCGTCTCCTCAGGAGATACAAGAAACACACGTCCCCCGAGGTAAGAGGAAACACTTGAGATAGTTTTTCGAAATAAAAATAGTGCACATAGACCTATTGAAACGACTCGACCAATTGAAGAATCACTGTGTGATGCAAAACCCCTTTGTTCTTTCCGGAAGAAACCGAAGAATTGACGTGACCACTAGCATATGTAATTGCCCTGAAACAAAGGGGGAAAAAAAATTATCACAAACTGTTTTTTTTCTCATTCCCCGCAAACTGCCAGTCGGTCAGACACTTTGGTGAGTGGTTTTTTTTCCTTCAAACATCGAGCGTGATTACGTTTATTCTATTCAAGAGGCGTTGCTAGATTGTTGCGCCATGGTGAACAACTCATAATGCACTGTTTATGATTTCTTCACGTTCTAGTTCCTCCTTTTTCGCATTTTCTTTGCTGAGGTTTTTGAGAGGAGGGTACACGGAGAGAAAAGTTGGATAAAAATTATCTAGAAAATCGTGACAAATTTTAGTGTAGAGTGAACAGGCCACTGTCACGAAGTTTCATGGTAGTGCAATCATTTTCCTGCATTTTTTCTAAAGTTTTGCGATTTTATTGAAGAATTTTGCAACTTTGCAGCGCATTTTTTTCCACAGCAAAATATCTAATAACAACTATTTTATCGAAAAAATTAGTAGAATTTTATCTTTCTATACTTTTTCTATTGAGACATTTTCTATAGTAATGCCTCGACATGGATTTTCTGAATTTTTTTCACTCTACGTTTCTTCTCTTTTCATTAAAAAAATGAAACAAAAAAAATTCGAAAATTCAATAGAATAGAATAAGTTGTGAATAAGTTGTGTAGAAAAATAAAAATTTCATTGATTTGTCCCATAGAATATTTTCCATCGAACGTTTCTGTTGCAAAAAAATGCACAGATAAGCTGCGAAATTTTTCAACAGTGATCCAAAAACCAATAGAAAATTCAATAGAAATCAATAGAATTCTCTATCGAATTCGTTAGCTTTTTCTATGAATTTTCTCCCTACGTGTTTCATTGTAAAAAAATTGGTGTGAATTCAATAAAAATAAACCACTTTCCTGAGTGCACCCCATCATTTATCTTTCTAATGGTCAAAATATGTTCCAGGTGGCCCAACTAGTGACATTTCTTCAGCAGCCCACACACCAGTTGACCCCCCAGTCACCCCAGCAGATTGCAATCGCTCAAAGCACCCCCCAGACATACGAATTACGTTCAACACCAACGAATCTCACGACATTCCAAGCAAATGCACCACTGACAACATTTCAAGCGAGTGATAAATCAAGCATAAGTCCAGCCTCATCGAGCCTGGGCTACACCAAAGACAGTAGTCCAATAGGCTCAAGCCTCGGGCAGAATAACTCAATGATATACAATGACAAGCTGAGTCCATCTGGCTCGACAGTTGGCCAAACTACACCCCTTGTTTATGGACAGAACCACAATCCATCACCACAACTCCAAGAACTCGCTATTTCAGCATTCAATCACAATTACAATAATTCATTGGGTGAAAATAGTGTGTCATGTGGAGAAAGTGAGTGCAATGGACTTAGCAGTGATCTTAATCCACAGTGGGAATTTCAGACTAGTATCGAAGCGACAAATTACACCATTCTGAATGATTGGGCCCCAGGGAGGGACTACCTCATCGATGATTTTACGATTCTTGGATTCAGGCCGCAGGATGAAATCACTACTGAGTTATAATTTATTTTTAATTATTGATGCATGTTACGAAGGAGATGAGGAGGAGAAAAGACAACGATTGGTCCGAATTTATGTAAAAGTTATGTTTTATTTAAGTTGAAGGATTTCGGAGGTTTAGAGATGGGATTCGGTAGTGGAGTCGTCATTCCTGATTTACTGAGAGTTTACGAAGTTTTTTGGCAATTGGATATTTATGTCGAGAATAAGGGGGACCAGATGGCAATGTCCACAGACATTTTGCGTTGTTGAACGAATTTCTGTAGAAAATTTTTTTCTGACGTTTTTGTTGGAGAGTCGATGATGAAGATAATTGGATATATCGATTAGGAACTGGATTTTTAGTGGAAATTGAGCTTTTTACAGTTGAAATATCTTGAGATTCAATGGATTGAGGAGAGATATATCAGGAGAGATCGTCTGTGGCCGAATTAATTTTCATCGAAGAATTATTTTCTGTCATTTTGTTCCAGAGGCGATAAGAATGGAGATAATTCGATAATTCATTGGCAAATACAAATTTAATTCGGAATTCAATACCTTTACACTTGGAATATATGAATCGATTTCTGAAAAAGTTGTCTCCTGATTTTTTTGCAAAGGTGCTTAATTAGATAAATTCATTGTCTATTCAAATTTTGATTAAAAATTGGTCTATTTATATACGGAATACCTAGAAAACAAGTGGATCCAGCTGTAAATTCATTAATAATTGAGGTCTTTTACGCTTGAAATATTTTAAGGGCGAGGAAAAAATCTCAAAAGAGCGAATTTCGAGACCAATAAATTTCCGACATTATTTTCTTCAGACATTTCACCCCAGAGCCCATATTTGTAAAGAAAATTCGATTATTTCTTCAGCAATTTAAATCTCGATTGAAAATAAATGTTTTTTATGCTCGCAATATCTCAAAAACGAATTTGCGAAAAAATATCGAACGATTTTTTCCTAGTAGAAAAACTAATCCTGGAGATGATGACACGAGTTCATCATTCAATTGAAGTTCGATCAAAAATTGATTTTCTTGCAATTTTTTAAAAGTGATTTGGGAAAAAGTGTCAAGGGAACATGACAACTGTCTTCTGACGTCTCGTCTTAGATTCAAGTATCAACAAGTTAATTAAATAAATTCATCATTAGATGACATTTTTTTTAAGATAAATCCGTGACACTCGAAATATCATAAAATTGAAGTGTCCAAAAGTCATGTGGAAGCTTTTTGTAAGAGCTGGTTTGTAGGTAGACAAAATTTTCTGAAGATAATGAGGTAAATTGGTCATTCAGTTCAATTTCGATTGAAAATAGAAATTTTTCACTTGAAGTATCTTGAGAAAATGCCCTGTCTTCTGACGTTCTCACTTGGACTAGATGGTGAACGAGATAATTAAACAAATGTCTTAGAAAATCCAATTTAAAAAAATAAAGATTTTACGCTTGAAATATTTTCAAGTGGTTGAATTTATGAGGGACAGAAGATCTATCATGTCCTCAACGAAAGCAGTCTCATGAGGCTTTCTCTTAACATAAACCATTCATGATTGAGATGATTAAATATTCAATGAGCCAAAAATTGATCAAATTTCGCTACTTATTCGAAACTCATCTTCTTTCTTTACTCGAATGTCTGATGTCTATAGTAGATGTGTTTTTCACCAACAACGTGGGACTGATCTTTAGTGTACCAAATGTTCAAGAGGTTCTAAGAATTTAGGTGATAATTCGTGTCAATTATTTAAGAAAAAAAACACTGCACTAGTCAATTTGCAATATAACGTGCAGTGGAGAATAATAATGAGACTAAGAGTGTTACGAAAATTTTTTCGAAAGTTTTCAGTGGCTACATATCAAAACTTGAGAAATCCGCCCAATAAGCAATGTCAATTGTCTATTTTCGATAATCTTGAAAAATTATTAGAAAACCTTGAACGATGTCCAGTGATGATCTGGTATTTGTGTATTTTTCGTACACATCATTATTTTTCACGGCTCGTAGAGAGTCTCTATGTACAAACATTTGTAAATATTAGATAATAATCTGGAGATATATTCACATAATATATATATATATATACTCGAATGGAAACAATAAATTTATAATGAAGAATCATAATAAACCGTTCTTTCGTTTTCTTTCAAGGATGATGAGGAGAATTAGTTTCATTATTTATAATTTAAATATATCTTTTGTGTGGGAGTGATGAGAAGGAGGACGAGGGGGAGGAAGACACTTCGGAGGAGCAGGAGCAGGAGATTGAACTGGAGATGGATCAGGAGCAGTATGAGATCGAGGGAGGAGGAGTTCGAGGAGGGCGAGGAGTTTGATGCAGAAGAGCAGATTGTCAAGTTTGAGGCTCAAGAGATTGAAGGGGAGTATGCGCAGGAGTACGAGGAGACCTCCAGGGAGGACACTACTGGGAATATTGAGGGGGCTGAGATGATTACGCATGAGATCTCACCAATGAGTAACTTGAAGAGTATTATTATTATTAGTATTATTAGTATTATTTCTTGTGAGAAATTTTATTTTCTTAAAAAAAGTTATTTTAATTTTTTCCTCTGAAAGCACTCATTATGGAGATAATTCAATGTTTAATAAGATAAGTTAATTTAAATTGTTCATACTTCCATACAGAAATAATCTATGACTAAATCTAATCTATGACTGTGTACAGACTTATGAAAAGTCTAAGGGAACAACTGTACATAAAAAAAATGTCCATAACGATATCTGTCCACCATCATTGCAGTCGGCGAAACAGTATCGTAGAGTAGAAATTGCGTTCGTTTTATTTGCCGTCGATATTAATTATGGATGGCGCCATGTGTCCCACTATAGCGCAAATGATCTAATCGTCGCATAAGCCACTGTGAATTATCAGTTTGATAATTCACCGGTAGCCCGGTGCATTATCAAAATAAAACTGATGCCAAGGTCCCACGTGACCCTGAATACAGCACTCTGATTGGTCGAAATTGGAATTAACGAAATTATCCATCGAATCGGCGCACCACCTCTCAAAAACTCCCGCGACCACCGCAAGAACCTCAGCGCCCCCGGAAGCTGCGTGCGCACTTTCCCCCCTTCCCGTTCCGATGAAATCCAACTCCCGCCTGTATTTTTCCACCCAGCGAAAATTGAAACAACCCCCCGAACCCCAAAAATTCCTCCGGAAAACCGCCTCTAGCCCCAAAAACCCAAAATTCCGTCAATTTCCGGGACCGTCACGCCCAAAAAGCCCCCGAAAATGGCTAAAAAAATTCGGCAGTTGCGGTGAACAGAGCGGAACGGGAACGGGTGGAGAGAGGGGTCGGCCATGACAGTTAGTCCCATATTTTCGATTCAATCCGTTGGTGTGTCCACAATCGTCCCCTCACCGAGTAATCCCAAAATAATCCCTCCAAATATCCCGATTAAATCGCAAAACACAATTAAAATACACCTCCAACAATCGTCAAACAAATTGACGACTGAATTTGCTGAATTGAGTGGTGTCTGGTGGCCATTATTAAAGATTGGTGGCTGAGTGTAGAGGTGGTGAGACGTAAAGAGAAACGTTGGAGAGGAGGATAAGGCAAGGTGAGGTGTGCCCCCCTTGCGTCGAAACAGAAACGGCTCGTTGAGGAGGGCCGACGGGCGACGTACGGGAGATGCAAGAACCCCCGACGGCACCATCCACCACGTGAGTCTTCATCAAAAAAATTGTGAAAAAAAATTCAATTACCCGTTGTCCATTCGAATCCCAGCCATTTTAATTTTTTACACTATCGTGATAAGGCTGGCTGCACTTTATCCGACAGACCCGTAGGCCACAAACCGTCCATCTTGTTGGCCCCTTGTCCTCGTTCCACGAGCCGTGATAATTGACGCGTCATATGTGCAACGAGAAATTTATTCTCAATTCTTTAGCGATAAATTGTATCGCTTTTCGTCGATTACTGAATCACGTTCATCTGGAGTTTTTGCCTGTTCGGTCTTGGTTTTCCCTCGCATTTCCGATGCTTCTTTGGGGATTGAGCGGGGGATTTGGGTGGGCTCTCGCGGGTTTTTAGAAATGTTTAGAGACCTTTGTAACATGGGGGGACTTTACATACAACCGATGACTCACTCTTTCCCGCTCTCACGCTGGAGTTGTTGATTTGGTGGCTAGTTGTTCGGAATTTATCTTTTTTTTTTGTTTCGGGGGTTTTGATGGCGAGGGGTTTCTCAGAGGAGAGGGACGTTTTTACTCGGTGCTTGGGGAATGGAATATTGTTTTTTCGGGCTGGTGGTATATTGTTTTGAGGTTAAAGTGCAGTGGCTGTGCGGTGAGTGCGTGGGGTTCTAGGCAATTTAGAAGTTTTTTTCTGAGAAAATGGTTTTTACGAGTTTTAACGATTTTGGTTTGAAGTCATTGTGGCTTGGGGAAGGAAATTATTTCCGTTGTTGTCGGGTTATTGAGTTATTCGATTTGTTTACGGTAATGGCTATTTGTGGAGAGTTTTGGGGACTCGTTTGATGGAGGAAATAATTGCAGGATGAAAAATGAAGACCGCCCAGAGGATTTCACCTGCAGGTCTCATTGAACAAAGATGAACAGTGACCAGCATGCACTGCCAGCGACGACGCAGGCACAGCAAGAGGTAAATACCAAATTTGATACTGGTAGACTACTCTCTAGCCTCCAAGTGCGTTAACATGAAGGATCAATTGGTGGAATGCCTCGGTGAATCATTAAAGCTTGAATTAATGCTTTGTTAAGTCCTTAACTAAATCATTTCGGTGGAGAAGTGGTCAAACGTACAAGTTCAGTTTGACAGGTCGAATGGTGGGTTATCTCTTTAGGAAGTGATTTTAGCGGAAAATATCAGGAAATATTTTCTCATGAAACTACTCGTTCTCGAGATTTATTCGGTAGGATCTCCGGATTGGCAGAGGAAAATTTGAGAAATTTGAGAACATTTTCAAGGTTGTTTATTGAGGATATCCAAGTACTTTGGCTATTTTTTTTACAGTGAAATGTTTTTTTACTTTTGTAATCGAACATCAGAGCTTTCATAATAGCGCTTTTCTTGAACTGTTTTTTTTCAAAATTATCTGAATGTGTTCCTTCAAAACTACTTTTTTTGTTTATAATTTTTACGTGTTTCTTGAAACCTGGATTAACCTCTAAAACAATTGAACCCTGATAAGCAAGGGGGGGGGTGAGGGGTTAGAGGTTAATCCTGGTTTCATGAAACATGTAAAAATCTAAAACAAAAAAAATAGTTTTGAAGAAACATACTCAAATAAGTTTGAGAAAAAGCGGTTCAAGAAAAGCGCTATGAAGTCTCCAATAACCCTAAGTTTCCGGACATTTTATAATGATTTTTTATTATTTAAACATTGTAGGTTTGAATTTGAATCTCGATATTGAACCGTTACAAAACATTTAAGAACCTCAAAAAAAATGAAAAAGTTTGCTTTTGGAAATTGACGAAATAATTGAAAAATTTTAATTTTAAAAAATCACGCGTATTTTCTATAAATGATTTACGAACAATCAATTTTCCACTATCAAAATCATTTGTTCGGAATCATAACAAATTTATTCATATTCAGAATTTTACCAGAAATCGAGTTCATGCCTAAAAAAATTGTTTCCGAAAGTTTACGAGATAATAAATAATTAAGTGCGGGCTTTTAATATGCAAGACATAGTCCAAACTCCCCGAACTCGATTTTTCGATCTCATGAGACAATGGTTTTTACACAATTTTTAAAAAACTGATCCGTGATGAATTAATAAATTCCGAATACCGCGAATTTTATGGACAATTTTGTACTGCATAGTTTCTGCGATATTTAACTCATAAAAATGCCACGATTTTGCCCAGAATTCAATCGAAATCGAATTACATGTAGATGCATCGAGCGTACTAAAAAAATAAAAACCCATCATTATTCTCGGTAAAATTGTGGAATTTTCAAAGAAAACTCATTTGTTTCAATTTTTTCGCGTTTTATGCGAATTACTAACGGAAAACTTAGACGATCGTGTTCATAACCTAATGAGTTTCTAAGTCACATTAACATTCATCGATTGAAAACAAAATTTTTTGAATCGGTTCATTTATTCAGAAAATATCATTGGACACGCACACCCGCAGAGACATGTCTTCAAAAACGTATCAGGATGATTCTAGAGGTCAAGAAATAGTGGAGAAATCATGGAAATTCCATATTCGATTTTCGGGGTCATTATAATAACTTCCTCCGGGTCGGGAAGTTAACAATTCCTTATTTGATTCAAACAGTTGTTTTCTAAATCAACAACATGAGAATAGAGAAACCCAACAGCTTTTGAGGATGCGATAAATCAAGTCATTTAGAATTCTTTCCGGAAATCCATAGGTACCAACTTTTGGGTATTATTGTCTGGAGATATACCTTAAAGAGCAACGAAATGCCGCTAATGTTTAAAATTCATGGACAAATTTCCTGCCTAAAGTTATCGATTAGCGCCTCCAGGAGGCGCTGACGAAGATCAATCTCCGATGTCGAAAAATATTAATAACGTTGAGCATAAAATTTGTTCAAAAATTTCGAGAAAGCCGTGGCCTTCTGTTACCCCTTAACAAAATAATTTTCTCCCATTGAGTTTCACCACTTCATCACAACAGAATGTAATCTCCAACCAAAATTACGAAAATTAACAATCACGAATTAACGCATTTGTCGCTAGAGCCTAGTCCCCACGCCGCCAATATCCTGTACAAATAAACCATTTTGCACGTAAAATCGCATGCCATCCCCGTCGATGTCGTAAAAACGTGATTTATCTTCTCTCTTCAGTTTTTTCCTGAATTATCCCCCTGTCCCCTTTTTTATTATTATTTTTTTGAATATAAAATTGGTAGGAAGTAAACACGGGTCAAAGTGGTCGTCCTTCTTATCCAGTTGGTCTGACATCTTCATCGAGTGGAAATGTAGGCACTACTGTTCCCCATTCGTCGGCAGATCTACGTGTAGGTACAGCAGTAGCATTAGCATCTTCAGTAGCTAAATATTGGGTCCTGACGAATTTATTTCCTGGACCGATACCCCAGGTATCAGTTTATCATCCACACCACAGTGCAACACACAGAAGTGGTACTGGTGGTAGTGAAGTACAGACAAGCAAAGAAACAACAATAGCCCAGGATATGGCGTTATCCTCAAATTCACATCATCAAACAACGAGTTCAACGCATCATCATCAATCTACGGTTACCACTAGCAGTCATCACAGCTCTTTACAGTCCCCCCAGGTTTGTTTGGGCGTTAGAAATTGCATGATTTATGTCCCATTCTCAGCTTCATGCCTTTTGTACAGTGTATACAGTTTATATTTCGCTTTTCATGGTTTTTATCATTGTTTCATGTTGATGGGGATGGTTCGAATTTCATTTGGAATAGTATTTTGTCTTCATTCCATTGATTAGCGTATGTGAATGAAAGAGATGATTAATTTCATTGTGAGAAGTGGTAAGATTTTGGGAAACAAAATGAATGGATTCATTTTTTTAACATTAAATTGTCTCGAGGTTCAGTGATTTGCAGGCGAATATCACAAGATATTTTTGAAAGGGAATTTTGTCAGCTATAAAAAAGATCCCTTGACATTTTCTCTTCGAAACAGCTGTGGAGATTAATGCATGGTTAACAAAAATGTAAAGTTTGAATTATTAAGATTTATTACTCAACGTGTTGTTAAATACTAAAACACGTCAATAACTAGTGAAATTGATTCACCTGCAAAAAAAACCCTTTTGACATTTTCTCCTACAGGCACTCGTTTTCGAAATAAATGGAAAATTTAATGACATTTTTTAGTCAATTTTTATCCCAGGAATGCTCTCTCGGCGACGAAAATAAATAGAAATAATATTGATGTCTATGTAACAAAAATTATCTTTAATTCATTCAGTGACTGAATAATATTCCCAAGCTAGTGGAGTAAATGGAAAAAACATTGTTTTGAAGAAAAAAAAATGATTTCAAATTGCCAGATACCAGTGTCTCTACCAGGCTTAACTCTGGACGGTTCACATTTATCATCGAGCCATCTCCAAGCTGCTCACGCACAGATGCAACAGATGAATGCCCAACAGCAACAACAGTTACACCAGAGTCAGCAGGGACAGCAACAGTCACATCATCAAATGCAGAATCATCAGAATAGCAGCAGTGGTGGGGGCCAGGGCCAGTCTGGCCGAGAGGAGAATAAAATTAAGGATGAGGGGGGGAGTTGTACGACTGAGAGGTGCAGTGATAATCAGGTGCACTGTCAGGTACAGTGTGATCTACAACTCACTCAGCAACAGGATTTACAACAGAGTATGATGCAGAATCAGGGACAGAATCAACAGTCCCAGCAGATTGGGGTTAATATCAGTGGTAACTCGGGGGGTGAGGCTGGCAGCCAGAGTAATTCGGAGAAGGGGGAGAAGAAGGAGGAGATGAGACAGCTAAATATGACACAGTGAGTTCAATTCAGAAATTAAATGGAAGGAGTAGTTACACTGTTAGAAGAAAATTGAAATTACGTAGACTGTTTCGTAGCAATTTTCTGGGGAGTGACATTGGAGTTGATTTAGAAGGGAAAAATGACGAAGGCTTAATTCAATTAAAAATTAATTAATTAAATTTTATGAATGAATGATTTCAAATATTAAATGGAAGTCGATATTTTTGAGCGGCAGGAAGATGACAACTCTTCGAATTACTTGAATTTTTAATTAAATGAAAATTCAAAAATATATTTATCTGAAATTTGCTGATCTCTATTAATTTTTTTGGAATAATTGAACTTAAATTCATAATTTCCATATACTTTTGCGTCAAATTGGGGTTTTGCAATCAAAATCACTTGGGATTTCCGTGAAACTGTCACTTTTTCTTATTGTCAAATTTTTAAGTCAAATTTTTCTTATTGTGGATTTATCTAGAAAACAGGTGGGATTAGGAGAATATGTTCGTTTTTTGTGGAACATTGAAGTGAACTGAATATTCAATTACCTGTACGAGGTTGTGAATTATAATAAAATAAAAAATAAAAACTCACGACATTTATTGATTTATCTTCAAACCGGTTGATTTTAGGGGAGATTGAGATTTTTGCAGATTTTTTGTAATTCACAAAATCTGCAAAAATGTCTCCAGCACTCTCTCAAAATCACTCATTAACGAGATAATTGAATATATGTGTACATGTGAGAAGTGACGAATCGGCTTTATCACCGAACACTATAAAATACATCAAGTCAACCCAGAAAAAATCCTGCAAAACCTGTCTCTTCTCAAAATTCAATATTTTAAAAGCTCTGAAAAATCGCCCCACCAGGAAGAGACGATTTACCCAATTGTTAATTCCAATTGAAGGTTCCAAGTCCCAGAGTTGAAACCAGGTGGTCACATGATGGACGTGAGAACAGCAGACGGTTCAGTAGTGAAAATAAGTGCTGGAAATGAACAAGATCTTGCTAAAACCCTTGGCGTTGAGATGGTGCAAAACATGTACAAGGTAATCCCAGCATTTTATTTTCATTCTCATCTCCATTCGACTCTCATTAAAAATCAATCTCCACTCACAAAATCGTATTTTTCCATTCTCAAGGTCAACGTTGAGGACATAAATCAGCTGCTGGCTTACCACGAGGTGTTCGGCAAGCTCCAGAGTGAAATAGCAGCAGGTACAACCCTGGTGGGTGGCACAGTACCAACTCAAACTGTTACTACCATTCAGAATGGCACGCCAATTGTTCAACAAGTGCAATTGAATAAATTCGATATTAAAACGAGTGATGGTGAGGCAACACCAGGACCAAGTGCATCGCCAGTATCAGTTGGCAGTCATGCGTGTGAAGTTTGTGGGAAAATATTTCAATTCCGTTATCAGTTGATTGTGCACCGACGGTATCACACGGAGAGAAAGCCCTTCACTTGTCAGGTGAATAAAAAAACATGAAAATTAAATGTTTACGTCTAGTGTTTGTTACATCTGAGTGGATAAAAAATTCATTATTCATTGGATTGGTTATTTATTTGCAACTGTTTCAGGTGTGTGGAAAGGCTTTTACCAACGCAAATGATTTGACCAGACATGGAAAGTGTCACCTGGGGGGTTCAATGTTCACGTGCGCTGTATGTTTCCATGTATTTGCCAATGCCCCCTCATTGGAGCGTCATATGAAACGTCATGCCACTGATAAACCCTATAACTGCACTGTGTGTGGCAAGAGTTTTGCCAGAAAAGAGCATTTGGATAATCACACACGGTGTCACACTGGAGAAACACCATACAGGTAATTTTTGGTCAATATTTACGATTAAGGTATATCCCTGGAAAACATGTTTTTCTAAAGATTGTCCCCGTGTTTTTCACAGGGGTCAGTGGGGCAAAATGAAACAGTCAAAAGACGACTGTTTGACGCAATTCAAGCAAAACAAATTTTTTATAAAATATTTTTTTTATCAACTTTTGCTTATTAACTGTTTTTTATTCTTGTGAGTACATTCAATAGAATGGAAAATTATTGAGAAGTTTAACGCAAATTAATTGCAACTTAATTGACACATTTGATTGTTGAAAATGATTGAATCTATAGTATGGTCTGTACCAAACTCTAAAAAATACTAGGAAACCTTGAGGATGTTTATCCAAAGTCCCAAGCACTTGAACAATTTTTATTTTCTTTTCAACTTTTAGACAGTTATTTTCGATTTTGTATAAATGATTGTACTCATGGAAACCGCCTTACTTTCCCCATTCGTTCGAGATATCCGCCATGTTCGAGTTCTCATTACTGAAAAATTGTCCATCTCTCGTCGATGTCAAGGGATTCACACGAATTTAGTCCCCAAATGGAATCCATTCACCCCGTTTCACCCCTCAATTTCTAAATTATCAAACTCCACTCAAAAGTATGAAGTACACAAGTTAATCTCGACGTTTTTGTACTCCAAAAGGTGTCAATACTGCGCCAAAACTTTCACCCGTAAGGAGCACATGGTGAATCACGTGAGAAAGCACACTGGCGAGACGCCCCATCGATGTGACATATGTAAGAAGAGTTTCACTCGAAAAGAACACTTTATGAATCACGTTATGTGGCATACCGGTGAGACACCCCATCATTGCCAAGTTTGTGGTAAAAAGTACACGAGGAAGGAGCATCTGGCTAATCACATGCGTTCACACACTAATGATACACCATTCAGGTGTGAAATTTGTGGTGAGTACCTGAAAACCAATATTACATTTATCTTGAAAACAGTTTCAACCCTTTTACAATGATTACATAACTATCTTATACCCCCCAAAAAGAGTTTGAAATGCCCTTTTCAATGAATCCCCTTTAATATCATCATCAATTCAATTCTCGATTCAATTACGAATAGGATTCCCCAATTTTTATTTGAATTATTCTGTTTTACCACTCCGCAATGAGAGGAAAACAAACAAGTTCTCAAATAAGTTTTGTTTGGATCAACAAAATCGCTAGTTGAAAGTTACAAAAAAAGGAACTGTTTGATTCGAATTGGAAAATCTCAAATATGAATAATTAATAAATTGCTCATTAAAATTTATTCAATTATGATTTGATGAAGAAATCAATTTGATGATGTCGTTGATATGAATTTAGTTTACAAAATTAATGAATAAATTCATTAGATTCATTAATGCTACATTTACTGCTATTATAGTACAAAATCATTACACATCTCCCAAGCATTATTCAACTCTTTCTACAATCCCCTTTTTTAATTTAATTCAATTCAATTCTTTGTCCAGACTTCCATAATTGGCTTTATTCAGGCTGAATTTAATTACAAATAGAATTATTTTAATTCACATTTGAACAATTCCAATTATCAGTTGAACTATTTCATTTTTGATCTTCAAAATAATCAGATGATGTCGTTTATATTTCGTTCATAAAATTAGCGAATAAATTAATTTTATTTCGTGATCGTCTGAAGTTTCATGAAACCCAGCATAAACCCACCAACTGTTGTGGGAGAGGGGATGACTGTGTGCGTTACACTGGGTTTTGAAATAAAATTTTTCGCGAGAATTGATCGCGCATCGCAGCACCCAAGTTCCCCCCGTTCACCGGTTTCATATTCACGGGTCGCGCGCATTCCACTGTAAAGCGCCCCTCTTTTACCATATAACCTTAGAAATCAGACATTGCTTTTGTCCCCTCCGTCGTTGTGTACTGCCGTTTGCATAATTCGTGGATATAATTACATCTGTCTTTGCATTTGTAGATTCTACTTCCCCGTCTTGTCTAAAAATTCCTAATTACATTCACATTAACAGTTATGTTGAATAATAATATTGATATAGTGAATGGAAATATTAATATTCAATACTTAATAATGAAAACAATAAATCGTATCGAAATGCTTTGACAAATCGGCTGTTTAATTTCATTGAAAATCTGTGTAAACAAGAACTGAATCGTTGAAATAAAATTGAATAACTCAAATCTAAAGTTCGATTGATAATTGTGATGGCATGACTTGCTATTTTGTAAATATAAGTGGTTAGTATTGATATTTCAATGTTTTTTGGATTGAGATGATTCATTTGGGGAATTTTGATCATTCGATAATTTAATTGGAGATTGAGGTTTTTTTACTTTCATTTTTGTCGATGTGTTTTTGTATTTTATGCTCGGGTTTTTCGCCCCTCGACCGCGCCATGCGGGCGTTTGTTTGATTGGTGCATATCGATTTTTAATACAATCGTCTGCGGGCGCGGAGCCCCCCCGTCTCCTCCCCCTTTCTATGTTTTCGCTGTAACTGCCGTAATCACGGGTTTACGGTGATGAATACATGCGCAGCAGCGTTGAATTATGCTCTGTCACGATTCATCTGAAATTAATTGATTATTGATTGGGATTTTTTTATTTTAGTCAATGATTAAATGGGTAGAATTCAATGGAATTCGGAATTTTTTCTATTTTTTTTATCATGTTATCATAATTTTTGGGAATTTCTACATGATGTACCACTCAATTGACAATTTTTGATTACGAAAGATAAAAAAAATCCAGATAACACTCGAAAGATAGGACATCCGGCCCTTAAATGCAAAATTCTCACCCAACAAAAAACCCTAAAAACCAACAGAAAAAAATTCATTATTTCTGTTTCAACGACACAATACAGGTAAGTCGTTCACGAGGAAGGAGCACTTCACGAACCACATAATGTGGCATACTGGTGAGACACCGCATCGTTGTGACTTCTGCTCCAAGACATTTACAAGAAAGGAGCATCTACTGAATCACGTACGCCAGCACACGGGTGAGTCTCCACACCGATGCGGCTTCTGCTCCAAATCGTTCACCAGAAAGGAACACCTTGTTAACCACATCCGCCAACACACAGGTGAGAGCGGTTGGCAGATGTTCACTTCACCGGGCAATCAATTATCTGTTGTTTGTCCAATCTAGAGACCGAATTAATCTATTGGTGGTTTTATCGTACTATTCGTCATTCCAACCATCCCTTGATCGAATTAAAATCTCTACAAATTCATTGTCACTCACTTGTTCATTGAAATCTCCAGGGGCAGACGGTCATCACTCATCTGTCATTATTTTACGAAATTCAGGGGAAGTTCAACCCGAGAAAAAAAGTTTTTCGTTTTTTGAGGAAAACGTTTGAAGGGCGGAGCTAAAACTGGTGGAATATTTGCAAGCGGAAAATACAATTTAGGGGATTCTTTAGACTCGATGATTTAAAAATGCTTGAACACCTCTGGATTCCCCTAAATCGAATTTTCCGCTGGCGAATCTCGCTAGTTTCAGCGTTATTTTTAAAAGTACTATTCATCCCACGATTTTTTTTTTCAGATATCCCATTTTGCATATTGAATTTGCCTTCGACCGCTCAAAATTAGACATTCGATTTTTGCGTAGCCAAAATTTTTGAAATAGTTTGTCGAAAATGATCATCAATTTGTGTTCCTCATGCAGAGGGGGTGACCGCGGTGAAATTTGAGACTTGCAGGGGGTTGTTTCTATCATACAAATGAATTTGGGATTTATTTTCTATAGGGGAGAGTGGGCAAAATGAAACAGTCGAAAACAGTCGAACGACAGTTTGACGCAATTCAAGCAAAAAAAATTTGTTTTATTCACTATTGTTTTAAAACTCATTTTTGTTCATTAACTTTTCTTTTATTATTGGGAGTAATGATTAGAATAATAATTTTCTATTCAGTAGAATGGAAAATTATTGAGATGTTTTTACGGGAGAAGATTTTGTCAATGGATTAATTGAAAAGAAAATGAAACAAAATCCAAAGTCTAGCGGAAGGCCCAGGGGGAGATCCAGATTGGGAAAAAGGAAAATGTTATACTGAATTTCAATCGAATAAAAAAAAAGTGTAATCTGTCTAATCTAATCAATTGTAATCAATTGAATTATAAGACGAATAAGGACTCCCAATAATAAAAAAAGTTAGTAAGAACATTTTTTTTGCTTGAATTGCGTCAAATAGTCGTTTTACGGCTGTTTCACTTTGCCCCACTCTCCTCTACTCAAAAAATGAGAATAAATCAAGTTTCAATTTTTTCCAATAGCGACATGTGGCTGTACAGGCATAAAATCGTCAAAATAGTCCCCTTAAAGGATTTTTGATGGATTGGCTTGAATTTTGGTTTCCACAAACAATATATTGATGACAAAAAATATTTGAGTTGGTTTGCAAATTCCATCATGGGAAAAATAGTACTTTCGAAAATTGTTCCTCGAAAATCGGAAGTTTTTTTTTTCGGGATGACCCTCTTCTTAATCGAATCTGTTTATCAAGGAAAATTCATATTCACGTAATTCTCTTTCATAGAGCATCTGTCCCGTCATTCGTTCGTCCCCCAAAAAAATTTCGGGATCGACTTTTAACATCTTTGAGAGTCCTCGCCACCACACCATCACCACTCATCCTCTCTTCTATTCGAAGAGTCGATGAGACATTCACTCTGCCTAATACACCGCTCTCATAACGCTTAGTCTTAAACAATATAGAACACTACTCGCGAGGGATTTTTTGTCCTTAATTGTCTGATACATTTTCTCGCGAAGCGAATGAACACCTGACCCATTTGTCACGATATTTTTCAGGCACTTGAGGATGTCATGGATTATGGAGAAGGAATTCAATGTTTTCTTGTGTTTAACTGGTTAAAGATAATATATGAAAATAATGAATTAAAATGTTTGAATGGTAAATGATAAATCGATGAGAATCTCTCATGATTCCAGGGGAAAATCGAAAGACTTCTATAATTAGAGTTATTCTCGATACGAATTGTCTCGTCTTTCTCCCCTGGAATTACTCCTTATGGTGATTGGTGAACAAAATGTGAATGATTGACGTAATTTAATGAGGTTGGCCCAACAAGGAAACGAAATTTTTTATTCCATATTTTGGAAGTTCGTCCAGATAATTCCCCATGACATCCTCAAACTCAAATCGATTCAAATGATTTATAAATGCCTAATTACCATGAAGTTCGTTATATTCGTGCTGGTAACAGTGCACTGAGAGAAAAAAACTACTTGATACCCCAAAAATAATTTTTACTGCTGGGATAATAACATATATATATATATATATAATAATTCAGTTAATACGAAAGTCCCTCATCCACAATTCATACAATTGAAGCTTTATGCAATAATTGTTTCATCTTTTGCCAAAAAAAGAAACAATTTGTTGGACTGCGAATTTTTCTTCTCGAAATTCCAGGAATTTGGTCAAAATATCCCAAATATATCAATAGTTAACAAAATTTAATTTGGGTGATACGAATTAGGTATGAATTACTATCAAACATCAGTCAAAGGAACAGACAAAACGTCAACATCACCTTCGCAAAGCTCAACAAACAGTAGTCCAGTGATATTAGGTAGTTTTTTCTCTCAGTGTGGGTCAGTGTGTGCGGCTCGACCACGTCAATTGCGCAAGAGGACTTTCCTCGAAGGGCAACGCACGGATATTTTCAGACGCCAAACGAACCACCACATACGTCCACAAAACCACTGCAAATACTCGTCGTTTTGCAGTGCAGTGAATTACTGTCCTGACTCCAACGAGGAAGTAGAGTCGAATATTTTCAGTGGCAACTAGTCGACACACATATCACGCCATAATTCTCAGCTACCAATGTCGTTAAGAGCAGCCTAAACCGATGGGGTGCCCCAAAATTAGTGTCAACGCCCTGAATCCTCCACTCGTGGTAACGTTTGACGCTCAGGGAGAATGAAAAAAAAAAAAAAAGAAAAATACTGAGAGAACAAATATCCGTGCGTGTCGTTCGGCAAAACTCGCCTTGTGCAGGATAACCACCATGTCTGAATGACGCTGAAACGAATTAAAATCAAATTGAAAGAGTCAGTAGAATCATTGAAAGAAAATTTGAAAGATGATGAAAAATCAAAATTTAGCTTGAAAAGAGATATAAAGAAAACTTGTAAAAATTACACAGGTGAGACGCCTTTCCGTTGCCAGTACTGTCCGAAAGCTTTTACGCGGAAGGACCATCTGGTGAACCACGTCAGGCAGCACACGGGTGAGTCACCGCACAAGTGCCAGTATTGCACTAAATCTTTCACGCGGAAGGAACATTTGACAAATCACGTGCGTCAACACACAGGCGAATCGCCACACCGATGCCACTTCTGCTCCAAGTCATTTACGCGTAAGGAGCACTTGACGAATCATGTACGAATTCACACAGGGGAATCACCGCACAGATGTGAGTTTTGCCAGAGGACTTTCACGAGGAAGGAGCATCTCAATAATCATCTTAGGCAGCACACTGGAGATTCATCGCACTGTTGCAATGTCTGCTCCAAGCCCTTCACGAGAAAGGTAATGGATCATTTGGTTTTCGGGGGGAATCTTAGTTGTGAGGGCTTAATGAGATGAGCCAATTTTACTTCGAAATCTTTTTATTTTATTGTTTTGTAGTTGTGTTGATGAAATTCGGTCAATTCTCGATTTCTTTGGACTCTAAGAGTCTATTCCATTTCCCAAAGATAACAAGTTTATGGAGTCGGGCAATTCTTCGTGTAATCTTCGAAATTTATTGTAATTTGATTATTGGTTGAGCTTCTGGTGGTGAAACTATCAATCGAATAATTTTTGTTTTCAATTTCTTATCGAAAATTTGTATTTTTTAATTTTCTAAATGGATTAAATAATATGTGAAAAAACTTTCATTAATGTTCCTGATGAATATGTTTTTCTTATAATGTCTTCACTCCTTCCAACTTTTAATTCTCAGCAAATACCAGGCTCCAAAAAACTGAAATTGTCTCGTCTTATTTCACTCCTGAACTGCTAAATCCCCGTCCCCCTCTCATCAGAAAAAAATCTTACCAATTTTCTTTTTAAAGGAGCACCTGGTGAATCACATGCGTTGTCACACGGGTGAGCGTCCATTCGTCTGCACAGAGTGCGGCAAGAGCTTCCCACTGAAAGGAAATCTTCTCTTCCACATGCGCTCCCACAATAAGGGGAGCAATGCCGAGCGTCCCTTCCGTTGTGATCTTTGTCCAAAAGATTTTATGTGCAAAGGACACCTAGTGTCCCATCGTCGTTCACACTCCGACGAACGACCACACAGCTGTCCAGACTGTGGCAAGACATTCGTGGAGAAGGGCAACATGCTGAGACACTTGAGAAAACACGCCACTGAGGGACCACCGACGCAAGTTAGCACACCATCGGCTATTCCGCAACCCGGTGTTTTACCTCTGCCCACAGCTGCTGCTGTACTTGTGGGACATCCACTGGCACCACCAGCACCACCAGTTGTACCACAACACACCGTCGTCGTGCCGACACCACCGGGGGTTCTAACGTCCTACTGAACTTAGATATTTGGACCAATTTAGAGAGGAACAGAAACAACTCAGTAGAATATCCACTTTTCATTGAATTGAGATTTTGCAGGGGATTTTTCCATTTTTCGGGGACAATATTGAAGGAGTTTTTTTTATTTCGATTAATGATGAAACAAAGGAGTTGACGCCCATTTGATTTTTGTACAATCAGCTATAGCTTCTTCATTAGTCATCATTGCTTGTAGTAAAAAATACGTATTCAATGTTTTTAATCCAATTTCTGTACTTTATCGTTTATTTTCGATACATTTTTTCATTGAATTATTTCATTCAATGATGATACATGGAGAAGTTTGAAAGCTAGGTTTTTCCACTAATTGGCTATAACTTCTTCATTTCTCATCACTCCTTGTGATAAAGAAAAAATACGTATTGTATTTTTTCCCTCAATTTTTATATTTCATTGTTCATTCTCAGTAGATAAATCTCACGTAACCACTCGATTGTTCATCGAAAGTCAACATTTTCGTAGAAGTCTTGCATGAAATTCTTCAATTGTTAAAAATGAAAGTTGGGTGATAATTGATATTAAATGCCTAAATTTTCATTTGAAAAGTTTGAGAAATGAAAAAGTTTTGCGTTGAATTGACTATGGGCTAGTTGCACCCAGCCCTGTTAGCCAAATAAAAAGTCGGAATAAATTCAGTAGTGAAGCGGTTAAACAATTCAAGTCGACTTAGCTCTTAGCTGAGTTATCGTTGAATATCTCCGAATCTATGGCAGATAGTGAAATTTTCCTAATAACCTTTTTTGTAGCTCTTAATTCGCTCTATTAAAAAGGTTATAACAAAAATTCTCCTATCTGCCGTAGTTTCCGAGATTTTCAGTGAACATTGAGCAATAGTCGAAATCGACTTCAACCCTTTTACTACTTCGCTACTGAATTTATGTCTGGAGTAAATTTACTCTACAGTTGAACAATTTTAGGAACTCATCGTAGAGTGCTTTCATTCAGCCACTCGGGGGTGAATATCGACTAAACACTTCGTAATTAGTGGTATTATTGGCAAATAATGATGATAAATCGATAGATTGGTAGATTATTATGGTTCGACAATGTTTGGACGTATTCTACCTCAAAAATGAAACCGACCCCATCTTCTAGACATTTTAATGCTAATTTAAAATTTCTTCTGAGAAATCTTTTTAGTACATCTATTTTTGAGAAAAAAATGTTGAAATGTTGAAATGTTGAAAAATGGCTAAAATCAACAATTTGAATAATTCGTAAAAAAATTAACTTGGACGTTGTTTTTTCCAAATTAATGAAAATGCGATTTGTTTCGTGGATTCGATTTCATTCCAATTGATTGAGTCACCCCTGTTTTAACGTCAACTTGACTTAACATGAAGTTTGAAGATGCTTTTCCTGTAAGGTAACCAGTTAATTGCTCTTATGAGAAGTCATCTTCAATTGTGGAGAGGTTTAGTTGCTGAAATAAAGTTGAAAAACAAAGAGATTGATGCACAAGGTTAACACACGTGTGTAGATAGATTTGAGATTGGCATGCATGAAAGTGGCGTAAACAAATTGCATTTTCATTAATTCATTGTATTTTTTCTGGGACAAACTACGTCCAAGTTCATGTTTTTATAAGTTGTTTAATTTGCGCTTTAATAAAAACTAGGCGTGGTAGAAAGATTTTCCGAAGGAAATTCAAAATCAACATCAAAATATCTATAAAATGGGGTCAGTCTCATTTTTGCGGTCGACGATGTCCGAATTTTCTGAACCGTGTTATTGCTTCCGAATGGAAGCATTGTAATCGTTCTATTTTTAGGTTTTCTAATTTTGCTTGGAACTCATGGAGAATGGTGTGAAACGTAAAAATACGAAGTTTGACCACCTTTTTTTTTTATTTATTCCGATACTTAACTGAGGATTTCTAAGAGGGCTCGGTGTGACCGGCCCTAAGATGTCTCGATTTTTCATTATTTTTTAGAAAATAATGTATTCAACATCTTTCATTCAATTTTTGTATTTGGTTGATCATTCATTTCCAATAGAAATAATTCAATGCAAAATCCCAATTGTCCATCTTTTGTGAGATAATTGTGCACTTGTTTGTAATACTTGACTGATATGGGACTGACAAAAAAACATAAGAGAAGAAGAGAGAATTTATAATAGTGCGATGGGAGAAATACTGGAACCTATAAATAACAATAATTACAGATGTAGAATTTGCATTGAATGAACCGATGAAAAAAGTGGATTCAGCCGATTTTCTAATATGCGTTTAGAATGTAACTGTAACGAGATTACATTTGTTTATTAATCATTAGCTTCTGTTGAGAAAAACATTGGATAACGCAGGGGAATGATGTTTCGTTCATCTTTAACATCTCTTCTTACTTAGTTTGAATAGTTTTATACATATTGGGAGTACGTGCTCCCTTAAAACATGTGTAGATAATGAAATATATAGAGTATTTACCGATCTGTGAACATTGTAAACAAGATTAAGAGAATGAAAAAAAAAAATGAATGTAAAGGAGAGAAAAAAAATAATTTCATACGTCTCTTTAAGTTTGTAGCCATTGTGTCAAGTGCAATATGGTGTTATCTTCGATCGATGAATATCCCATGAAACTGATAGAAGATCGAAGTGGAATTATGTCTCGGAGACGTTTTTCTCAAATTTTGTTAACTTTCGATAATTAAAAAAAAGTTTATGTTTTATAACATTGAAAAATATCATCGTTTTGTAATAATCGCCCAAAATTTATTATTTTTAGAAATAAAATGAAACAAAATTTAGATCTAATTGACCTAGAGATTGTGTAAGGCCATGTATTTCGTATTAAGAGTATAAAATAAATGAATAAAAAAAATAAATGGGACAAAGGGAGACGTGCACGTTGTGTGTCCCTCAGGGTGGCCCTTATTTTCATCAAAAAAACGTGGAATAAAAGTTTAAAAGCTCGAGACACTCTGAGGGGCGTACGACATGGCAGTTATGTATGATAAAAAAAATATTAAACCCGAAGTAAGATTTTAAAATGGTATATATGATATACGTTGTAGGTCGCGCAACACACGAGCAAATCAATAATAAAAAATGAGTAAATGAGTGGAATGACGTGTGATCATCCGTAATGGGCCTGAAGTGAGTAAAATCGTAGGAACTATAGATTCGTATGAAGAAAGAAAACTATAAATGAAGAATTAGTGTGTCCGAGTAAATCTAATGTATCACGTACTATCCCAAGTAATCAAAACAACATTTTTTTGTAAAGGAAATAACAACAAGTTATATGTCATAAAGATGAAGATACCAAACAAGCACCGAGAGGGAGATTGCATGCCCAGGTTGATCTGATCAAACATTGGATAATATACATCGTGTATATACGGTTTATATAGCTGGATATCAAGGGAATATTGAATGATGATTATAGCAAGTGGGATAACTCTCGGATGTTCAGTTTAATGAATGATTATCCTCCAATTTAATGTCCAAGTCATCAGAAACAACTCCAATACCTTTTAATGATCTAACGATATGAAATAGATTTAACAGAAATAATAAAACAAACGAGAACGAATAGAATTAATGTTTATATGAATTATTATTACAGAAGGAACAGAAAAATAATACTATCATTACCGTTATGTAAAAGTTAAGAAGTTGATTTATGCTTTTTAGGGTTGATTTCCTCTTATTTTTTTGTGGTGTTTGGATGACGTGGGGGGAAATTAGGGGACAGGGGTTATTCAGATGAGTGCAGTAGCGAAACGGTAAAACGGTTCAAGTCAATTTTGACTGTTGACCGGCTTTCAATGGATATCTCGGAATCTAACGGAGATAGCGAAATTTGTGTCATGACCTTTTTTGTAGAGTTAATTGAGGGCTACGAAAAAGGTCATTATGAAAATTTTGTTATCTCCCTTAGATTTGGAGATATTGAGCGAAAACTCAGCTGGGGGCTAAGTCGACTTAAAGAGAAACGAACCCCTATGTCTATATGAACTTTTAGAATTGTGTTTTCTCCTGCAATTATTAGTTTTTATTTATGAAACTACTTCATTCACTTAACAATGCAATGATCGAGTCAATAAAGTAGTTTCATACGTAAAAATTCAATTGCGAAATGGTAAAACGGTTGAAGTCGATTTTGGCTATTGGCCAGTTTTCATTGAATATCTCGAAATCTAGGGGGGATCGCAAAATTTTTGTCATGACCTTTTTTGTAGTTCTCAGTACGCTCTACAAAAAAGGTTTTTACAAAAATTTCGCCATTTTCCTTAGATTCGGAGATATTCCTCGAATATCTCTTGATTTTTGAAACTAAAAACTTGAGTCACTCGATTACTAGGGGAGGGTGGCGTAAAATGGACACTTGACTTTTTTAAAAATGTTCATGACGTGTTGAATTGTTCATGAAATGGAATACTTTTATTTTTCAATTGAAAGAACAATTCTTACTCTTTGTGACGACTTCAGACTGAGCTCAATTGATAAATCTGTTTCTGAGTTATGCCTATTTTAAAAAAAGGAAAGTGTCCATTTTGCCCCACCCTCTGCTATATTGTGCAGTGCTTGAAGCTTTTTGGTTTCTAAAAATGGAGAACTATGGACACGAGGATGATTATAAAATTCAACACATGCAAGGGCTATCGTTACCTCTCAAATGGTTTTACCGCTTCGCTGCTAAATGGGGTACAGTGAAAAATGCGAATGACTTGATTAAAAAAAATCCAGACTAATAATTCTTTGCCAATCCGAAGCGAAAACACGTTGCGTCACACGTGTCTATCAATTAGTTCATAGCTGTTTTATTTTTTTTCGTATAAGTTTCTTCCACTGAAACCGTAGGATCGGAAATCTTTACGGGCCATGCGCGCTTCGGCTTGGAGAGAAACAGGGTGATGGAAAGACAAATATTGAATGAATATTTGGAGATAATTAATAAAGATGATTAAATTTATGATTTAACTTTTTTAGATAGATCAGAAAAAAAATATGTATAGAATTTTATTATGCACCATTGTAATATTATGTAACCCAACTGCGACGCAATATACACTGGTGTTATGTTAAATGTGATAATTGTGTATTCATTGGTCTGACTGCCTTCCAGTTGTTGGTGAGAAATGTGCGAGAGTTACTTACCTCATGTTCAGTTAATTTGTTGGAAAGATGAATGAAGACTGAAGTTTCAGGTTGATTATTCTATGAAAATTCACGGAAATCAGGAAAATTCAGGTAATTATATTCTTGATTGAACATTTAGTAGTATTTCGTACTGAATATTCATTATTTTATTGAAAATTCAAATATTTTGGGGAGTTCTCATGGTCGTGCTGCTAAAAATTTTGAAGAATTTCATTGAATTTTGAGTGCAATTTTTAAATTTTTTATTTTTTCCGGCCGAACCGAATTCAATGTCCACGAAATTGCAATTTTTTTGTAACTGTTTTATTCGGAAAATGAAAAACTATGGTCCAATAGACGTGAATATGTGATCTGGCTCTCGTCGCAATCAGGAATGATTGAATCAGAATAATTGAGTCATAATCATGTGCTATTTTTCACACTCCCAACATCCCTGATTTTTCATGATTAATCAACAACGTTTGAAGATGAACACATGCATTGATCCTCCTCAACGCTTGCAGTTGAATCTGAGAACTTCTATTCAAGCCCAATTCCATTATTTAAACTCTTTTGAAGGACTAACTCGATTGCTCTCTTAAATATAAATATTTAAAGAAAAAATATTTAAAGAATAGACAAAAATTACGAATAATTCATGACTTTTCTGACAAAAAAAGATATTTTTGTCCTGAGAAGGCACCGTCTTGTACGAGCGATCCGACTCTTGAACCAAATATCTCGTTGTTGTTGAAAGCAGAGCAATTATTCATGTTTGAGACTTTCAAATTCGAACCAAACAATTACCCAATTCTTTATTTCCTTGACGTTACAAAAGTTTTTCTTCGTTTTACATCTACATAATCAAACCATTTTTTTTGATAATTCTCAACTAACGATTCTGTGGCCCAAACAAGACTTGTTCGACAACCTGTTCATTTTTCTCTCAGTGTAGACCCATAAACATCAAACAAAGGATGCGAAAATGTAGCAATGAAAAATCTCGATAAATTTGGTAGGATAGATGACATTTATTTCATTTAATTATCATTATAATAATTATTTTAAGCTACTGTTTTCTATGGTCATACAGAATACCTACAATTATGTCCGATAATTATGCGTGAATCCAGAGAATGCGTTAAAATTGCCTCCAACGCGCGATCATTACCTCCCGATAGAATTCCATCGTATTCACGTAAAACATTATTTATTCGTCACTAGACCGAAAAAAACTCTTCATGCAATCCCACGAGCTAGAAATTATTTTTTCGGCCACGTGACGAACGATATTTTCCGTCACAACCGCCGTAGACAGGGATTCGTGGACGCGCAGCGTCCGTGAAGCGTTGCCTTACAGCCGGAATGAAAAAAATTATTGAACTCCCGCGATTGGGTGAGGTCCGGATGCAGCGGTTGACCGAGTGGACGGAATGACCCATTGGGGTGTATCAATTCACAGCCGGAAGTGGATCGAGAGCATGCTGTTATCGATCAAAAACCGGCCGGGTCATTCTTCATTCTTGCAATCATCACTTCATTCAATGAGAATTTCTCTCTTTTCACCATTTTTTTTAAATTCCGCTCCGCCCGAGACCCGAGAACACATTCAATGATTCGAACGCGAATATTGTGCTTAATTACTTCTCATCTTCTCTGTCTCTCGTCGGTTGACAATGATTCATTATATTTTACTCTATTCATTCTTCTCTTTTAATCGGCGAATAATCGAGTCAACGACGATACGACACGACTGGCCTAATTTTTATTTAAATTATATACTTTTCTGCCTGTCGGATGCCCCTCGGGGCATCCGGGGAACGCTGGAGAGACACTAGTTGCTGGAAATAATGATATTCCCCTGGGAGAAATATTTCTGCATGCAACGTGATTCTCGAACGTCTCGACACAATTTAAAACCGATAAAACACTCGTTTTTGGTTTTAATTATCTTTTGTTCATGATTCAAAGTGTAAACCTCTCCCACGAACCGAGAAATCTGTCGTTCTATTCTCCCGGCAATTGGGTATCGATACTTTCGACAGTTCCTGAACGAGACGAGTAGAATAAGAATCGCCATTTGTTCCCAGAATCGTGAAGCTCGATTTTTTCTCGATACCGAATGCGCTTGTGCGAGTTTTTAAGTGAAAATGACAGATGATGGGAAGATTTATCGATTGGAATGAAAAAATTCCAAGCTCCGGATGATTTCGAAATGGTTCGTGATTCAGGAGAAACGATTGTTTTCACTCGGTTCTTTGAGTCCAATTAGTTGGAGATAATTATTGCATGAAATAATCTGGTTGGTCTGAATCCTTCTCAAACCTCTTGGCCTCCTCCTGCATGCTCTCCTTGATCTTGAGAATGGCTGCTGACTCGTTCTGATCCTGCGAACCAACCAATAGCAGGCCGGTTACACCTCAAAATCCAAGAGCGAACACAAAAACACCCAGGAAACAAATATTTCCAGGAAATGATGACCACTCTCTCTCTTTTGGTAATTTACAGGGGCGAGAGGACAAGAGGAATCATTTTCAATATTTATCAAAATTGCTTTTGGTACGTAGGGAAAATTAATGTTTTTGATTTTTGAAAAAAAAAACAATTGTTCATTTTGTTGGGGAAAATCAACACATTTTACAGGTAATTATGAGAATGAGTGATAGTTTAAAAAATTAAATTGTGTATTGTGACCCATATCTTCCCAAATTGGTAGAAAATTACTACGGAATGTTTGAATGAAAAATCTTAGAATTTTGGAATCACCTATTTTTACATGAAATTTACATATATTTTGGGAGTGACAAATCAATTAATTTCTGGAATATTCAATGAAGTTGGAATCTTCAGGGAAATGAGCCAATGAAAATCATTAAAAAAAGTGAAAATGCAATTGATTGTGATGTTTAATTTCTATAATGAGTTTGAAATTTCAATGTCATTTCAATATCAATGATCGAACATGAAAAATGATATTTTGTTGAATGTCTAAGATGAGTAAGAATTTTCATGAACAAATTTTTTGATAGATTACACGAGACTGACGAATGAATATTCTTTAAATTTTCAGCAGCGACCAATTTACATGAAATTTCCGTAATTTGTTACCGACAATTCAGTTAATTTCTAGAATATCAATGAAATTGCAATTTTTCACACATATGACTTTGAAAATCGTTAAAAATGGTGAAAATTCTATGGAATGTGATGTTTAATTTTCCTGATGAGTTTGAGAATTCAATCTGTAATTGAAATATCATTGATCTAACATAAAAAATTCAATTTTGTTGAATTTCCATGAGGAATAAAGAATTTCAGGAACAATTGGATGTTGAATTGAATTGAAATTCACAATATTAAAAATTCAAACGCAGCTATTTCTCATTTTTCAAATAATTTCGAACAGTTGATACCAGAACAACATGTAAGTAATATGTAAAATAATAAATCCAATCCGGTAACAAGGTATTCCATTATAAAATGTCATTTTTTATACCTTTAACATTTGTCCCTAAGTTTGATATTAAGGTCGTTTTCTGTATTCAATAAAATGTAAGAAATAAATCCACCAATGTGTCAAATCGGATATTCTATTGTACATTTATTTGCTGGCAGTGGGTAATTTAAGCGATCTCGGGAGTAAAAAAAACTGCTAAAATTCGGGAAAAACCTCGCGCAATGAATGCTCAGCCACAACGAGGAGAAAAAATCTGAAAAATAACTTAAAAAATTTGATCTTTCTTGAAGAACTAGATGAAACGAGTTTAAGGTGACCTGAAGATGATAAATGATATTTAGAAACGTTCAAACATACGAGGTGGTTGACAGGTGCAGGTTTCGCCATCTTGTTTGACTTTCTCCTTCTGCCGCAAGGAAATTGAAACATGGCGGCGTCTCCACCTCGCATTTTTAAACATTTCTAAAAATTATTTATCCTCTTCAGATTGCTCTCAAGTCGATTGAATTGGCTTCGACAAAAATAATAAATTTTTTAAGTCATCTTTTAGATTTTTCCAATGATTGTTTCAGAAATAAAATCAGTAAACTATAATATAACGTACACTGTTAAGTACTTTACGATATATAATCAATCTTCATCATAAATAATTTGGTAAATTTTATAACCTTGTCCTTATGAAATTTGGTATATTCTAGTAAATAAATAAAATGCTTCTATCAATCTATCTATCCCCCTTTGGCTGAGAATTTATGGCGCAAAGTTTTCCCCGCAATTTACTAGTTTTTCTACTCCCGACGCCTCCCAAAGGAAAATGTCAAAAAAAAATTCTCTCCTAAATAGTGATAACGCGAGACATTTCACGAGACATCACGAGACCATATTTTGGAGGGATTATCTCGGTCTCAGTGAACACGGAAATTTTTAATCTCGTCTCAGTCTTGAAATACGCAGTATCGACTCCTCTCGTGATGGCTCCGAGTCAATCTATCTCATCTCGGTTTCCAGTTTTTCACGTTTTTTATATGTAGAAAATCGCGACGAGACAAAGCGAGACAAAAACTGAGATTTACGTTAAAAAACACGAAAAACTTGAGACCGAGACGAGATAAATCAGTAGCGAAGCGGTACTGATTTATCTAACCCGGGTCAAGTCAATTTTGACAATAGGCCAGTTTTTGACGAATATCTCGAAATCTAAAAGAGATAGCAAAATTTGTCTCATGACCTTTTTTGTCGGGGAAAATGAGGGTTATAAAAAAAGGTCATAACAAAAGTTTTGCTATCTCTTTTAGATTCCGAGATATACATAAAAAACTGACCAAAAGTCAAAATCGACTTGACCCGGTTTACCGCTTCGCTACTGAAATTGACTCAGAGTCATCACAAGAAGAGTCGACACTGCGTATTTCGAGACTGAGACGAGAGCATAGATTTCCAGGTTCTCTGAGACCGAGATCCTCTCTCCAAAGTTTCGTCCCGTAAAGTGTCTCGCGGCATCACTACTCCTGGATGATAAAATTACCAACAAGAACTGTCTCTTGCCATTTTCCCTCAGAATCATCCAATATTTGTCAAGATGTGAACAATCGACATGTTGTCTCAATATGATGCTCTTGTCCTCCTCCCAAAATGTTGCTTCAATAAACGTGTACCACACACCCCATAGGTGCGTGCTAGGTGCGGTGATGGTGCGTCGGGTTTGGGCTCCGAGACAGAAGAAGTAAAAAAAAAAATAATAATAACAATCAACAAGAGGATTTTAGCGATTGAGAGGATAGTCTAGGATTTTTGGTGAGAAAAAAAAATGCTTGTTCATCAGGGTGCTCTGACCCACAACACATGGACGTTAAATGTAACACAAATGAATGAATAATAATACAAAAAAAATAATAAACGGTAATTTCTGCCCAAAATGGCGGCCTGCCCCCCACGCACGCACACCTCCATCGATTGAAAAAAAAAAGAATTAAAAAATAATAAAAAAGAAAAAGCAAAAAAAAATTTGAACTGTGATTCCATCTTTGGTCTAATTTTTAACATTTAAAGACTATTGTTTCTAATTTGATGTTTTAAATTTATGACAAATTGGCAATCCACAATCGCAATCCGGCTCACGCATCCATGTGCTACAGGTCAGTACAGCCTAGTACTATATACAGCCACCAGATTTATTTATTCATCATTATTTTATTTCGAAAAAAATCAATTAATTCGCATTTTTTACCATTAAAATTCAATCTTGAAATACCACTCCACTGATTTATCTTTCATTTAAAATTATATTCGACGTCGTGTGATACAGAACGTGTGTCTCAAGCATTATATATCGACAAAAGATGACAATAATTTTCAACAAATCGCTCCACAAGAAATTCCTCGAAACACACGTCCTTAAGACTAACCCAAAAACCCGGAAAATAACTACGAGATATTTGTGAATATCCGGTAGCCAGCACCCTGCGGGTTCAATTAACAGATTAAAAAAATAGTAAAAAACGCAATTATGTCAGTTTAACATGATTACATTTATTGTCTCGATCTCCCTTGGGTCAGGCATATATTTCTATCAATAAAAAATATTCTCATCCTTCAATAGTTGAATTCAATCTTACGTAGCTCTTGAAATAAAAACATTACCAAGGTGCGTTTACACTTCAAGACTTAAGAGAAGACGACCTCCCATAGGAGCATTCGCATGTCACTTTGAGTAACAAAAAAAAAAGATTAAGAAAATGAATTCATCAAAACAAAATAAATAAAAAGAAACGCGTTCAAATGCTCTTAAAATTCAATAATCCTTATAAAAATGTGGCAACCGTATCTTAAAACGTAAGCGTACCTTCGACGTCGAGTATATTAAGTCTCATAATGACCCTCATTACGAATAAATGTAGAACGAATTTTTGAATCGACATTTATCGAGCAAATAATCATCGTTAAAACAAGTATGTACACGGGATTCAGTCTCTCAAAACCACAAAATGAAATTAAATTGTAATAATGAAAAAATAAAAAAAAAATTATTGATTGTCGACCCAAAATTTCGTGCTCCCTCATCGAGTATTTTTACATGAATTATAATTACGTAGTTTAAATAGTTTAATCAACGATAAGTTAATCAACTAATAGCAGCACAGCATAGTCTAGTACTGACCTATAACCACCTGCGGACGGATGGATTTCCATAGTATCTTTAATCAATATCATTCCCATGATTTTTGAAATGAATTCTCGTTATTGAATTGTGAAAAAAATAATGAGATAATCGTCTGCCAATTCCACTCATTCACTTTAGGGGTCAGTACTCACACTGCCTATGTGTTTTAAATGCATACAAAAATATTAATATCTTTTTCGTTATTTTTTTTTCATGTGCAATATCTTGGAGTTATTGACATTAATCAATTGAACGCTGTTGCAGTACCGTTGAATATCGGAAAAGAGTGATTGCTATGTTAGATTGAAAAATGTGAGCAAAATTTTTGTTACTTTTTCTTCAGCAACTATCACCCACGGAATCAAGCCTGAAACCTTTGAGTATAATTTTTCTCTGGGAGCATGTTCCAAAAACTTCGTTAAAAAAACCTGGTTAAATCAACTTTGGAAAGGGAACTTTTGGTTAATTCAACTTTTGTCAAATTGAACTTCGGTCTTATCTCGTCTTTTGTAAGAATAAGTGAAATTGTGTTTGTGTATGAGATTCTACACTGAGAGAAAAACGAACAAGTCTTGTTTGGGGCAACAAAATCGTTAGTTGAAAACTAATAGAACAGTTCAATAGAAATTCAATCGAATTTTCCAACGAATTCGATAGGTTCTTCTGTTAAATTTTTTCGTCCGTGGACGGGGACGCAGCTGGCATGAACCCCAAAAACCCCAACATTATCAAATCGTAATAATATATTAGAGTGGATCACTTAATTAATT